GCCTTTGAATATAGGGCAAATTTCAGGAAACTACCAAGTATTACATTACACTTTATAAACCCCATCTTTTTCTCCACTGCTTAAATTTCTGATGCAATTGATGGCCCTTGTGGACCATGCTCGGTGAGGTGATGCCCAAAGTTCGTCACTGCTTTCAAATTACATCCAGCTCTCGGTAGCAAACTGCCCATGCTGATGCTCGCTTTGCTTGAGGGAGCATCAGGAATTAGAGCCATCCCTTTCCCTAGTGGTACAAAAGCGCTGGAGGAATTCACTCGCGCCGCAAGCTTTAAATCTTGTTCCATACCGAGTTTGTTTCTGCTGTAAGGGTCAACTCACTTGGATGTCATCCAGGGTGAGATGAGGCTTGACAATCTTCATTTCAGCATGCGAGTATAACCAGTTCTGTGAGCTCCAACAAATGTGAATAAGTTTACAAGGTGATTATTTTTTTTTTGTCAATTTTGTAAACAAGTTCAAATGAAGTTTACCATGTGCGTATCTGCTGTGTACTCTCATTTTTGCATGAACTCAGTTTCTCTGCTACTGGTTTCTCCTCACCGCCTTACAAAATTTATTCTAACCCTAAAAACTTAAATACACTGCCATCTCTTGTCGGTGGATGACATGAAATGGCTCATCTGCCAATCTTTTGGGAATCGCCATTTAGTGCATGTTTTTATAGGTACGTTAACAATGCAGAAATGCCTTCTGACAGGCTCTGTTGGACGAAGCAGGCTCTAGAACCCCCTCCTGCTCGACAGGTACTCACCCATCTTTTAATATAGCCAGCGTTACATACCCCTTGAGTTAGTTTTAAAGGTCAGGAACAGTTGTCTCGCTGCCTTGGAGTACGTGACCTTTGCTCAGTCACGGCGCCGACTGCCCTTTTGGTTTCCCGAGGCCGCTGGTAGGGCTCTGCCTTCCAGCTCCTGCTGCCAAACCAGCTCAGAAAAGCGATTTTTGTGCCTGTGGCGTGCGAGCACCAGGGTGATTTTTTAACCCAGGGGCCCCCTGGGCTCCCTCAGGGCCAAGGGGGGGTCCTGCCTGACGGAGTAACGGGCCCGAACTGAGGGGAGACGGCGCTCCTCGCCTTAGCCGAGCGCGGCGCTGGGCTGAGGGGCTCCCGTAGCCTGCGCGCAGCCCCCATGGGCGT